AGAATATATTCGCTTCACATACAAATTAATTATTATGCTCTAAGCAAGTGACAAATATAATTTTAGTTCTAGAATTTTACATAAGGACAATTTTAATTAATATTATTGTATGTTATGCCACCATAATTGGGTGATGTACCTAGAATTAAAAAAAAAATTAAGTGATGTTGATGCAAATTTTGTTGTCATTAATTGTTTAGAACTGAAATATTAAAGAAGAAATTTGATCAAGCTGATACATAGGGAACTGATGAAATGTGTTTCACAATAATAGAAACCAACTAGCTAGTCAAAGGTTTATATATAGTGAATGTTAAATCATATATTGCTGCATACTAATTAACAATAACATACTCAGTGAAATCTCATAAGTGAAGTGTAAAGAAGGCAGACATCCGGACCTTACTCTTATCTTGTGTGAGTAGAGAGATTATTCCCAATAGACCCCGACTTAAGAAAAATATTATGAAAAATAAGTCTAATAAATACAAGAATAAAAAACTATAGTGAAAATATTGTAGAAAAGAACTATATTGGCAAAAAAAAAAACATTCAAATATAACTGCCAAAGATTGTGTGTGCATGATAATTATTTATCTATTTTTAATCATGATCTCTTGACTAAATTCTTGATATGTAGTTGTCTTTGATAAAGAGCATTTTACCTCCAATTTGAGATTTTCTGATAAGAATTCAAATTAGTCAAGATCTAAATTAAATATATCGAAAAATAAAATGAAAAAAGTACAGTTATATCCTATAATCATGTATTTCACCACTTGAATATTTCAAAAACAAAAAGTACTAGTAAAAGAAATGGGGGAAATAAGGGATAATAAAAAGTTAATAAAGAGTAAAGTGAAGAATATCAGTATTGATTAAATACTTGGTTGTGCAAAGTGCATTAGTGTGCTAGAATAAAGTTGTTTCTTTTATAATTTTTATGATATAAAAAGGGAGTCTTTATCCCTGTTTTTGGGGGTACCCCATTGATGGCTCATGGCTCTCTTGATGGTTCAAATAAAGCCATAAATCACATCAATGAAAAGTAATATTGTACTCTTTAGTAGGCCATATTTTCACCCATTCTCTTCTCTCTTTTTTCTCATCTTCATGCCTTTTAACCTCAGTCTTAAAGTAGAGTTATTGATTGTTTGAACTCTCAAAGTAAAGTCCATATCTAATTGGATAAACAGTGACTACATCCATTTTCTTTTAAAGGTTTTATGTTTTCTGCATTGTAATTTCACGAGTGGAATCTGAAGAGAACAATATATAGGAAAATCTTCTCATATATTGTGAAGATAATAAAATTGTTTTTGATAGACTTTATGTGCCATCGATAATGTATAGAATTTTTCATATGTGTCAAATAATGATGATGTTAGATTTTTTATTAAGAAATTTTAAAATTTAATAGATCGTATACTTTTTAAAAAGCAGAGCCAAGAAGTCCCACATTGAGGATAAAGTGCTCCCTAACAAGGTGACTCCGTACTCGAGAGGACTCGAATCCGTGACCTCTTGGTTAAGGATGAAGGAGTACTTACCACTTCACCATAACCTTTGTTGGTGTGGAGGGAAGTTATAATATATTACTATATAAGTAAAAATGATTTTTTTCTCTTGCCTAACTAAATAATGTAATTTTCTAATGAATTGAATATATGTAGTTCCACCACTACCGTTAAGTTAAATTTATGTCTATATTAAACATTATATGTTAACTTAAAAATACAGTAAATTACTAGATCTCCCTATTAAATAATGTAATTTTCTAATGAATTGAATATATGTAGTTCCACCACTACTGTTAAGTTAAATTTATGTCTATATTAAACATTATATGAAAACTTAAAAATACAGTAAATTACTAGATCTCCCTATTTTCGACTGCTAAAACTGATAGAATTATTTGATTTTTTGAATCATGAAATACACTTGTCGGAAAAGATTTTTGATGAAATTATAATTAGAAACTTTTTGATGATGAATTGTGTTGATAGCGCAAAAAAATCTCTATACAGTCGATATATATATAAAAACAAATTCTTTTTATTGTGTGTGTGTTGTAAATTTTGGTATGAAGTAGCAATAGGTGGTTAGATGGGGCCATATAGAGTTTGTGCGATTCATGGTTTGAATGGTCAATCTTCAAATGATTGGGTGGTTCTTGTAACACATAGGATACCATCCCCTTTATGTGCTTCTATATTTTCTTTTCCCTTTTTGAAAATTCAAAAGTTTTGGTCTTAGAGTTGATATAATTAGGGCGTGACCAATGACCACCTTAAGATTTACCCAAAATATGGTCCAAGAAAGGAATTGTATATTAATTAAAATGAGAGAATATTGAAAATTTTATATTAATAGATTTTCATGAAAAAAAAAAAGGATAAAATTTCTTTATGAAAACTTTAATGGAAAAAAAAGAAAGAGGGATAGAAGATTAATGTTGTAAATTACTATTTGAAAGCCATAACTCTTTGGCTTAATAAGCAACAAATCATAAATGTGAATGAGGCACAATCTAATAGAAACTATTTAGAACATTAGAGAGTATGAAAACTTTATTAAAAGTAAAAGGGTAATTCAAGACCGGTAAGGATGACTGAGTTTGTTGAATAGAGGATCTTCTAAACGGGATTGGGTTTTTGGTTCGAAATCTTCTGCATATTTTTTCAGTCGAGCTTATCGCACGGGACTTGTTTAGGTGTGGTTTATTTTCCTTGTGTGATTTGCACGCTATTATACTGGAGCGAATTTTACCTTGTGCGCACCCAAAGAATAAAGATGAGAGATTCCTCTCATCAAACAAATGCAATTCAAGAGTTTAGAAAGAAGAGAATGAAAATTAACCAACATGGTTCTATTTTTCTAAAATTATCTTTTTAGAAAAATTTAATGGAGAAAAAAAAAAGAGAGAAAGAAGATTAATGCTATAAAATTCAATCTCAACACCAAGAACATTTTGAAAATCATCACTCTTTGGCTTAATAAGCAAACCATGAAATGTAGGATAATTGTCAATAATATGTAAATGAACCACATTCTATTAGTAAGTGTGTTGAACATTAAGAGTATGGGGAACTTTATTAAAAGTAAAAAAAAAATGTAAAAATATGTGTTGCATTAGAATGAAGTGAAAACCCATGAAAGTTACTAAAAGTAAAGAAAATAGTGAAATTCCCAAAATGAATCACTACTTACTAAAAATAAAAGATCAAAATAGAAATCAACTTGGTCCTTTTCATTGTTATTGCTCTTACCAATAACAGAGAAATGATGTTTTTTCTCTTTCTTTTGAAGTAGGGCATGAGAAAAAATAAAATAAAATAGAGAAAATATAGAATACCAAACCATATTGATACGGGTCAACAAACCCAACCCAAACCCACAAAGAAAAAATAGAGAGGAAAATTGGCCGGAGAAATCATGACCCAACCACTCATGGGTCCACCCCACCCCCCACCCTCCACCCCTACTCATCATAAGAAATAAATCGGTTAGACTGAATTTTAGCTGATTAAAATGAGTTAAGTTAATAAATGATTGAGTTATTGATTCGTTTAAAAGTCGCTTGAATGAAAATGAATTAAAAAAACTGATCATAACTTAACCAGTTTAATTAAGTTTTATTTGTTCTTTGTACAATAATTTTAAGTACCTGATAACATTATTTTTTCTTTATAATATGTATATTAATTTTTTCTTTAACATGCATATTCTAACTATGCCTTTTTTTTTTCTTTTAAAGAAAAAGATACAATTTTTCTCATTAATTAATTTGAATTATATATGAGCGTAGCATTTTGATGAGCTGAAATGGATAATATTGACATGACAAGTGAATCTATACCACCTTTATAATAGGGAAAATGTTTGAAATATATCCTAATTTTGATCGAAATTACTGTAACAATTTCAAATGTTGGACAAAACCTATTACCCTTGCACTGTTTAATAGTGTATTTTAAAGATATATAAGTGCCCACGTGGACAAAATACTATTTATAATTATGCAATATTTATGATACTCATGTGGACACTTATATATCTTTAAAATACACTATTAAATAGTTCAGGGATAATAGGTCCTGCACAAGGTTTGAAATTATTACAACAATTTTGGTCAAAGTTCAGATATATTTCGAACCCTTTTCCCTTTATAATACTATAATTGTAATTGGGATTTTTTTTTGGTTCTATCTCAAATTAATATTTAATCATAATAAATTAGTATACTTTTTTTTTTTGCGTGCGCACTAATAAGTTATTTCCTGGAATAATACATAGATAGCCATTACAATTATTTTCTATTAAATTCAAATTTTAAATAAAGCGTATTTAGTGATAAATTAAAAATTGACCCTCCCCCCCCCACCTCACTCCGTCTTTTTAAATCATCAGAACTCTTTGAACCATAGAATCAAAGAGTATCACACATGTTCAAATCAATCCTCAAAGCTTTCCCACGAAATCAAAATTTTCTACATCTCAATTTTTACTTTTTTCTTAGCATGTATTAAATCTTGTGTACATCTACAAATTTTGTTCAGAGTAATATGATATTCACTTTATAAGTATGGAGGGAGGTATTTGATCTCCTTAAATTAAATTTGATGTCTATATTTAATTTATTTTGAATAAATAACTTTTTGTTTTAGAATAAGTGTCACTTTAACTCATTTCATGTCAATTAAGAAAAATAATAAGGCAAGATACTCCTGTCATTAGATATTTCTGGAGGATCGAATAATATTAAGATGAAATAATTCTACGAGGATATACTTGAAAACAATTATTTCATACGTCACTTACTTATTCAACATGTCACAGAAGAAATAATACTTATTTTGAGACGGAGTAGTAATCAATATACACACCATGATTGTACACAAAAATCAAGCGTGCGCTTAGCACGTACAAGAAGCAATTAATTGTTGCCCAACAAAAAAAAGATGATTTTTTTTCTTTTTTCGGTTCTATATAGTCTCACCCTCCGTGCACTCCCCTCATCTTTGACTATATTCATTCTTCTTATCTCTCCCTTGCAATATACACACAGCAAAAAAAAATTAAATAATTTACTTTCAGCTCTCTATCTTCTTCACTACTTCATTCAATTTCTTCAATTATTTTGAGTTTCTAAGGGTAATAAGCACTTTCACTACTGTGGTAAGTCTCTGTTTCTCATTCTTTTTTGTGATTCATTTTTTTGCTTTCTCTTTTAATTCATGATGTATATCAGTTTTGATGAAATGGGGTGTCTTTGTATTCTTGTTTTCTGTTGGTAAATTGTGTTTTTGGTTATAAAGTTCAGATTTTTTGGCATTCTTGAATGGGGTTTTCACTGAGATCTAGTAAAAAGACTATCTTTTTTTACTTTTTGAGATATAGAGGATATTGATTGACTATTATGCTATGAGATTTTTAGCTTCAATTTCTGTAATGCTGTGTTTGTTAAGCTAGGAAGAAACAGAAAAATAGTTAAATTGTAGAGGACTGTGATTCTAAGGCTTTTGAGCTAAAGCAGCAAAAGAAAAAAATATAATAAGAAAGAATGACTTTATGAATTTGCATAATAATACATAAACCCCACGCCTTATTTGTTATCTCTGTGATCAATCTTCTTTGATAAGATTTCTCTTTTTCATTTGGTGTTTATGTTAAAAGCTGATGTTGATTGTGGAAATCTTATTCCAGGAGCTTAGGATTGGTGAAGAACAAGAACAAACAGTTGTGGCAATAGAGCAAAGTAAAGAACAGCATGCTGTGGTGTAGTTTATCTGTTGACGTATATCGGAAAGTTATCTCCTTGAACTTGTATTGCCGTGTGATTCTGTAAAATACCCTTTTCGAAAAAAATCAGTTCTTTGTAGCCTCTGGATAGATTACTGGTTATTTTTTTCTCACCTTAGAAGTCAAGTATTCATTATAATCTCTTTCCATGGGATCTACACGTTTCGTCGTCATACCTTGTTACGTTCGTATGATTAGCTGAAGATTTAATCACTTTCATCTTAGTCTTGGTGAGAATCGTCTTTGTTAGTTAGCTTCAGCCTTACAGTTTCCTTCATCTTGAGTCTTTGTGAGAATCGTCTTTGTTAGTTAGCATTCAGCCTTACAGTTTCTTTCATCCTGAGTCTTTGTGAGAATATTTCTTTAGTATTCAATCTTTCTGTTTTGTTGGGAGTGATTTTCCTCTGTCATTTCTATTGGAAGAATTTGTTTGTGGTGATTGTGATTGTTCGGAATTCTTTTGTTAGTTGATTGTTTTGCTGGAAGATTGAGGTGTTTTATTGAGTTAAAAGGGTTGGGAACAAGTAGTTATGGTGTGCCAAGCAGCTAGTCAGACGAGATTTCGGGCATTGAAACATGAAAATGGAATTGATGGGTCTGCCACCATAATAGTTAGAGTAATAGCATGCTTTCAACCTCTCCAAGATTGCCAGGTCAGTGATGGACATTTGGTATTCTTGAATAAGATTCTTTATCTTTTTTGTCTTCTAGAATCCTTGCTAATCGAATAACTTTTTTACATGATGAGATGCCTTGTTCTTCCTTTGCTTGTTGGAAGACACCTAATTTCCTTCTTTTTTGTTTTGTTTGAGTATTTCAGGCTGAATACTTCCGTCATTTGCTTAAACCTGTCACGTAGATCGATCTTTCTTTACCGCGTTCAAGTTAAGCTGGAGTTTTTAGTTTTTCTTTATTTAGCAAGAGTGCAAGAAATAATCAGCAATTCGTAGTTTCACAGTTGTTTCAAACTGGTATGATTCGTAACCTTAACTTTTTTTACCGTTTTCTAGATCAATTTTGGCTTGAATTCATCTGATAAGTTTTTCGGGTTCTTTTATCTGATCTTCAGGTGATTGTTAAGGTTGAATGGAAAAAGACTTGGTCTCTTCATTCCATCACCAACATTCAGATCTGCAGTTAGCCCATTTGAATTTTTCTTATCCGCGATTTGATATAGGGCAGCAGAATTCTTTTCCTACTTACATGACTCCTCAGTCAAATGAAGTTCCTATGAATGGGAATTCTCCATTTTTCACATTCCCTGGGCTGCCAGAGTCGAATGCAAGCTGGCCAACAGAAACTTGCAACTGGTTGTATTATTCGCCTCAGTTTCATCAGGGCTTTAATCCTGTTTCGACCACTTTACCCAAAGAGAAGTTTGCTCCTGGAGCACTTGAAAATCTGGAAGGTAACAAACATCCTAATGGAGGCACCACATCTGCGCAGAAGAGATTCCTTGTGTTTGATCAATCTGGTGATCAGACAACTTTGATCTATAATTCTGCTAATGGTACTCATGTTCAGTGCCCACCTTCTCTGAATCCAAAAGCCCCAGACCTTTATAAGGAAGATCCAGATAATATCAAAAGGAATGAAACTTCTCCATTTGGGCATTTCTTCAGTGATGAATATTATGAAGAAAACAACAGAGATGATGTCGAAAATGAAATGCATGAGGATACCGAAGAACTGAATGCCCTACTCTACTCTGATGATGATAATGATTATTCCGAGGATGATGAAGAAACAAGCACTGGTCACTCGCCTAGTACTATGACCACTCATGATCTGCGAGAGTGGTTTGACGGAAGGGGTGAAGAAGTTGCTAGTTCTGCTGGGCCGATTAAAAGGCATAAACTACTAGATGGTAGCTTCAATGCACCAGAGCTCAGGGATACTGCAACCTCTGCAAAAGCCTATACATGCTCCGACTTAGAGGATGATGCACAATCCAGTTGTGGCAATGGTCTCGAACAAGATTCAGGAGCACCAGATTCTCCATCTGGAAAAAAGAGGCAAAGACAAGACAAAATCCGCAAGACAATAAGCATTTTGCAGGAAATAATCCCCGGAGGGAAAGGAAAAGACTCGATGGTTGTTATTGATGAAGCAATCCATTACTTGAGATCCCTGAAGATGAAAGCCAAGTCCCTAGGACTTGATTCTCTTTGAGCTTCGGCTTGCCACTGGTCATCATATTATTGAGTTACTAATGGTATTTCTTCTTGTAGCTTCTCGCTGGTCGGAAGTACGTATTAAAGGTTTTAAATTAAACAAAGCTGAATTAGAGTTTAAATGGTGGTATGGCAATGTGTGGCTGATCAGAATACACCATAAACAAAGTAAACCAGATTGGAGAATCCCTTTTAGAGTCTTTATTCCATCATTCTTGTTGGGAACCATTGGCTATGGCTTTGAAAATCAGTGGTCATGTCTTCTTTTTAGATAAGGAGGGAACTTCTTGTCATACTTCCATAAAGGGTGGTAAATCATGAGTTTATATCTTGACCCCCAAGAGAAAAAAAGTTGATTCTGCCCTTTGGAAATGTGTTTAGCTTGCCCACATAATTGTTCGTTGTCTGTGTGAACGATATAAGGTGTAATGTTACCTCAGCAGGACCCTGGAAATGTTCTAGTGCACGCTTGGTGGCAAATTTGGGTCCCAAATCTCACTTTCATGCTCTTTTTTTCCATTGTGACTGTCATATTAACCCCTCTTGGGCATTTCCTTTTCTTATCTTAAAGGCGGGGGCAAGCAATTGCATGGCGATGCGTCTCTCTTTTAGTTACATCAGGTATATGTTGTGCTCAATGGATCTTGACCCTTTTGTGCATCAAGCCAATCCTGTCAAAAAGAGTGGAGAATATCATATCATGTCTTCAGAAATCTGGCTGCTGCTAATGTTTGACACATGACTAGTTTGAGCTTCTTGGTGGTGTAAAAAAATTGTAGTACTATTGTGAGTTTGTGCAAGTAATATCATGTTGTGATGTTTATTTTTTGTTTGTTGTGAGAATATTTATTAACTATGTTTGGTGTTGTTGTTGTCTTTATGCCTATGTATTTACGTAGCATGCACGCATTTTGCCTCAAAGTGTGATAGAAAGTGATGTGTTTAATTTTTTTCTTGATTTATATGATTCCTTTGTAATTTAATTGCAATGGTGAAATGGGACCACATGTTTGCATTATTTGGGTGATGAAATTTCAACACTTCCAACTGCATGCGAGGGCCCCCCTCTTTTGGTTCTCCATCTATTCTCCTTTTCCATTATTGATTAAAAAATCCGCTTGATGCGCGAGAGACAAAGTCAGAATTGAAGCTTATAAGTTTTCTTTTGAGTTCGTGCCTTACAGTCTAGTGTTATCAGAGAAAACCTCTTACATAATAATTGTCATTGTTATTCGTTTTCCTCTTTCATGATCCCAATGCATCATTTGAATAATTAAATAGATGAAAATGATTTATGTAGACGATTCTAGTTAATTTGTTTTCGATTTGCAATTGATTGATGGTTTAGACTTTATCAATCATATTTGGTGAAATAGTCGAGGTATCTCGTGATTTTGTACTACAATTATGACTTTAAAAAGATGAAGTTGATTGACTTAATTAGATGACAAAAAGACATGACTTGATCATACTATATTTGTGTGTTTTTTAGAGTATAGGAAGTGGGAAATTCCAAGAACAAAATGGGCCTATAATCGAACGTCAAAAACATTGAAAATTGGGGAGATGTACCTAACTTTGATTAAAATTTTAAAATAGACCGTAGTAGGTAGTAGTAGTAGTAATTGATATGGACAGAATGTTTTATATGCTGTAGAATACGTGCAATTAATATTATGTACGAGTCCCATAATAAAATATTTAATTTCGTCTACTTATTTATAAAGTTCATCCCTTAAAAATTTCTTGTAACAATTATGTATATTGTATATTTTTTTGGGTACACAATTTTTTTGTATATGATATACAATAGTAAACATTAATAACATTTTCAAATTTCTTAACCATAGTATGAAAATGTCTTATAAAAATAGTGTTAAATTATTATATTTTTTATAAGTGACGTACAAAATCAATTCTTGGTCAATCGTATATGATGAAGTGGTGTAAATTCATAAATTGTTTTCCTCAAGTGTGATGGAGGAAGCCAGGCAAAATATGGGCCTATCTTTTATAAAAACGGACCTGTCTGGATTTTGGATGTCAAATGCACATGCAATATTTAGACACAAAAATAAAAATTTGGGATACAAGTGTATGTCAATTTCCCCATAAAGATAACGTTCTTCTTACATTTCTTAAGTGCAATTAGAAATGATTTTTTAGGGAAAATTGTATGAACTAACAAACTATTAATTCAAATTAAATGTTATAGCCATAGTTTTTTTTATTTGTAATTCGCAACAAACATTCCATGTTTTTTGCCATCCCATTTGTATACCGAAATATACAAATAGAACCATTCGGTATACAAACTTTGTGTTGTATATATGTAGTAATTTTGTTTATATACAATTATTATGTTTTAGTTTGTATACCGAAATATACAAATACAAATTTTTATGTATATGTATACAATATACAAATGAATAGACATAGCAAACATAAAGTTTGCTATGAAGCGCAATTATACAAACTATAGATATAACATACAAATATGATTTTTATGTTTGCTAAATCTAAAATTTACTTTTTTTTTAAGCTTGTGTTTAATCATAGATATTTGATTAGATTTTTTTTTTTAAAAATTATCTTCAAATATCTGTTTGATTGTCAAGTTTGATCAAATTTTAAGAATTTAATCTTCAAATATTTTCAAGTTTTCAAAAATGGATGGAGGAGAAATTTCATTTGTACTCACAAAACTTTGATTTATTTTCTAAATAAAATGCATGTTCAAACATGAATATTTTCAAATTCCAAAAATCACAATTTCTAAATTCAAATTTTCAAGTTTTTAACTTTAAAAAAATCTATAGCTATACAAAAGCTTAGTATTTTCTTTGTTACTACTATTCAGATTTCAAATAAAAAATATTTGGAAATGATGACACAATTAATTGGACAAAGGGATGCAAAAAGTAAGGAGGGAAATGGAAATTGACATTGGCAACAGAAAAAACTCAAATGACATTATCAAAGTGGTTCGTGGGTGAGACGTGGAGATAAACGACGCCGTTTAACAAGAACCGACTCATCTCTTTTCCTCTCTTGTGTTCCTTTTGCTTCGTGTTGTTCGATACTGCCTTCTGATGATCGCCACTACATACATACACTCCTCATTTTCATCTCCTCCAACTTAGGGTTTCTCGATTCTTCCTCAAAAATGGAATCACTCTGTTTTCACGACGGCAACATCACTAACTTGATCAACAAACGCTACCTCAACGTTCGCCATGTAAGTCAAATTCTAATTACCTTTTTTTTTTAAAATTTTTGTGTTCTTGTCAGTTTGCTTAACTTTTCATCGAATTGGTATATTATGTGAGCTTTCGTTCTATGTAATTTTTCCTTTATGATGATGATGACATATGCTGAAATTTTTCATTATAGTTTCAGTTACTCAAGTGAATTATTGTGCCTGTAAATATTAGACTTGTTCACTCGATGAGGTTAGTTGGCTAGGGGAACTGGTCCTTGAAGATGCTACATTCATTCTGAATGTAATTCAACTGGGCCTCCATATTTTCTACTTCATTAGCTGAGAAACAGTGACTCGTTCTCCGGTTAAAATGAAGTGCAGATATGGAGAACCAGGATAATTCTCAAAATTATCAGTTGTTCCACCTCTACATCACAGAAAATTAAGGTGCCATCAACATGCTGAAAATGTGTGATCTCGTGGCTATTATGCCCATTCATGGCTACCTCAAAGGCTTTAATCCACTCATTTTGCTTAGCGATTTTAATCATGTTGTTCAAACCTTCCATGAAAGTTATGAAAAGATAATGGGACAAAGGATGATCCTGCCTGAGACCTCTGTGAGTTGGAACATAACCTTTTGTGGGAACCTTGATGATGACTGAGAATATGACAATAGACATATAAGCTTCCATCAATCAAAACCTATCTATTGTAACATGTTTAGGAAGAAGTTCCAGCTCACATGGTCATAGGATTTCTCAATATCTAATTGACAAAAAATACATGCTTCTTCTGTTTCTATCTTGAATCCACTGCTTCATTGGCTATTAGTATAACATCCGTTATTTGCGTTCCTTTTTTGAATGCCATCTGTTGAGAGTCAACCAGTTTTTTCATTATCCTTTTAAGCCTCTCTGTCACTTCTGCAATAAATTTGTAAATGTTTGTTGCCTATTAAACATATAGGTCTGAAATGCCTAAGCTCCTTTGCACCATTCTTCTTAGGGATCAAGGCAAATAGGCAATGCATGGCATTGAGATTCTTCTAAAAAAAAACGGGAGTAAAAATTGTGGAAAGCTCCCATGATATCCTGTTTAAGCATCTCCCATGTACATCATACTTTCTAGCACAAAAGTATTCCACTAGTCTGTCCTTATTTCTCCATCTCCTCACCATGTTTTGCTGATCAGTTTAAGCCTTTTTGAGAGCAAAGCAGACCCATTCATTCCATAGTCGTTTTGCTTAGCATCGGACATCTCATCATGTTACGACTTCTTTCGATCCAATGGAGCCATGTATCATTGTTGGGTGTCCACTGGGTAGTATCAAGACTTAAAGCCGGTGTTGAAGTAAATTCCGTTTTCTCCCATGTGTGTAATCTGAAAAAGGAGCCAAGGTTTTATGTAGTTCACAGTGGGTGAACTCTGGAATAAAGAAAGAAAGGGGTTTTTTGGCACAAATGCATCGGAAAAGGTTAAGATACATTCCCAGAAAGTAGGAGAGAGAGGAACCTTGGGAAAAGTGCATGGGTACTTTTTTTTATAATTGACCTTTTCTCTATTTGCTTTTCTTTCTCAAACCACCTTGTTAAATTTTGAGAAATCCAAGCCAAAACCATCACAAGTGCTTACGAATAGCGGCTTTCATTTGACTTGGGCAGCTACACATTTGTCAGTCTTTTTGAAAATTTATTAAATGATTTTACAGCCACCGGAAATATATTTCTTCATCGGTTCCTGTATGTGAGACCAGCAAAGCTTCAGTCCCTTAATGACTTGGATTACTAATAAGGTTCTGTCTGGTGTTTTTAAGCTCAGTACTTTCCGCTTATTTCTGTCTCACAAATTATACTTGGGTTTCTATTCTTTACAGGACTCTGTTCACGAATTGCAAATGCACTCCTCTTTGGTGAAAAGAATGGCTTTAGAAAGAGAACTAGATGTGAGTGCCTTAATGAGTCCAATTTTATTGTGCATATTATTAAGATATTAATCTCACATTATCTTTTATCTGATTGATTATTTTGCAAAGTTGGGCATCTGTCTGTTGAGAGATTAAAACACTCATCCTATGCCTTGATTGGAGAACAACTAGTTGAGGGTGTCAACTATTTACCTTTTTTTTTCAAGTGCAGCTCATGAAAGTGGTATTCTTTTCATTTGCATCAATAGGCACTTTTTCTTATTTATGGACATTGCCTGGTTCTCCTTTGCAATAAAGTTTATGCATGTAACACCTGAGCATAATACAAATTTTAATTATTTCAAGATGCCCGAACAATATATGAGATAATTTTGGTGAAAGATGGAAAATTTGACCTTACTTACACACTCCTCATCAAAATATGCCTCACTTTGATGTGTTTGAGTTGGTTGAGGAGTAGTTTAATTAATTGTTTGAAGTGTGACAAATTGACGCAGTGAGTTGAAAGAGTTGGCTTGTTAAGTTGGAAATAGTATAAAGTAGAAGTGATGGATAGGGAAATTAGTATGTGTGATGAATGGTCCTAGTTAAAATGTTTTTACAAATGCTTTTGAAGAAACATAATTTAATAAGCAGACCATTAAGCATCTGTATTGTAATTCCTTCTAAACTTCAGCAATAAAGTTCTGATCCTCTATATGTTTCATCCTTCCTTTTTCAAGTTACACAATCCAGTATGAATTGTATAATAATAAATCTAACATTGAATTCACTGTAAAAAAGGGGTATTAGGATCCTATGTTGCTCGGACTCTTCAAAATTGTCAAATGGGT